GAATTTGAGCACTGTGTGCTCAGGCGCTGCCGCAGCCGTTCTCGGCACCGTCAAAATATATGTCCGGCCTCGAACACATCGGCCAAACAGAAAAACTTATCGGCCGATGCCGATGTTTGAAAAATGGCAGATATCGGCCTATCTGAAACATACAGGAATCTCTATAATCTTGTTAAAATTGATTTCATAAAATTGGTATCGAAAAAAGTATCGTTCAGGAACCGGTATCGAAGTCAAGGTATCGGTATCGAAAAATTTTGAACGATACCCAGCCCTACTAACAGCATGTGAATGAAATACAAACATCACTTTTTCTCTGAGGATTAAACCAGACATCACCATCTCCTAGCATCCGCTCTACACCTGTGTACATCCTCCGCCACCACAACAGCAAACTGTGAGTGAATCATTAAATTCACATATATAATCCAAGTGATGCAGCTGAACAACACAGAAAAACTGCAAGCACTAGATGGATGCCCAACCTTTTCATACAAGGAGAAAAAGAGCAGTTGGGGGAAGTGTCTGAGAGACACACGACTCGAGCGGTAAACAGGAAACGGATGAGATAATGATGCAAATGAAGATTGGCGGGCATTATACAGGCCTACCCTTTCTCTCTGCCCTCTCTCTTTAATATACAGGAGATCTTTATGTACTTGCAGCAGCCCAAGTGGCAGTGAAGGATGGAGGCACAGGTTGCATAACACAGCTGTCTCTCATGTAAACAGCATGTTCTCTGAAGTTATGAGCATGTGCTCTATTCATGTCCCCGTGTGAGGCTGTATTTGCATATTGATAGGCTCCTTTTAATTTCCATCCTTGCTTTATGGTTCCAAACGGGCTGTTGCTTTTTGAAAGACCAAAGAATATAGGTTTGCAGAGAGACAAACATCACATAACAGCGCTGACAGGTCGTCAATGAGATTATAACAACAGTTAAAGGGACAGTTCACCCAAAAATAAGAATTAATTCCAGGCCTGTACTGTATGGGAAAAAAAATTCTCAGCATACCAAAATATCTTCTTTTATTTTTCACAGAAGAAACATGAGGGTGAGTAAATTATGACATTTAAATTTTTGGGTAAATTCTCCCTTTAACACAAAAATGAACATTCTCTTATTATTTACTCTGTTAATATTTAATATCTATTCGTTCTGAACCCAAATGCTGTTATTTTTTTCCCCATATACCAACATTTCATAATGATCAAGCTCCAAAAACACTAAGAAAGTGGTCCATATGACTCAAACGCAATATTCCAAGCCTTTTGTCATTATATGGAGAAAAAAAGTTGTATAAAGGCTTCTATGTCACAAGGAACATAAGAATAAATAATTTTTGAGTGAACCATTCCTTTAAGCTTGAACTGGTAACCTTAATTTAATATACAAGCTTTAGTCTATTATATAAAGTAAATGCATTCTGGAACACAGCCTGTATTCATTATTAATGAGAAAACTGTGGCGGGTCTTCAAGACAGCCCACATGAGGGCTGTGCCAAGCTCTACCTAAACATTTATCATCAAGGAGGAACTTTAGACCTCATTAGAGTCTAACTGAATTGATTTCTACTGCGCATGCTGCCAAACGATTGCCAGTGTCAAGGAAATCCAATCAACACAGTCACAAGAATGAAAAAGAACAGCCTTCTGACTCCCAAATATCCATCGTAAATCTTCCAGACAGGAGCGTCCACAGACACACTGCCAAGTTCCTACACATGCTCTCCGCCAAACCAGGATGCTGTGGCGGTAATTAAACACCTTGATCGCCTAGTGCTTCATCACACCCAGCGTCTCTCTCGCTCTAGTCATGGGTTTTCACCGTACGTTGTTCTGAAGTCTGACCAAGCCCACACTAAACCCAAAATTTACAATGCACTGATCTCAAATCAACATAACAGTGCACCTAAAAATACAAATTGCCATAATTTGCTCATCCTTGTGTCTTTCAAAGCCAGTAAGACTTTCCTTCTTCTGTGAAACACAGCTGTCAAACAAGGAATCGTTCACACAAAAATGAAAATTTGCTGAACATTTACTCACTCTCAAGCCATCCAAGATGTAGATGAGTTTGTTTCTTTATCAGAATAGATTTGGTGAAATGTATCATTACATCACTTGCTCACCAATGGATCCTCTGCAGTGGGTGCTGTCAGAATGGGAGTCCAAACAGCTGATAAAAACATCACAATACGTTTAGAACAGTTTTGGACTGTTTCCGCTTGTAAACACTGCTTTGTCTGTGCATATTTCTCTCTTTCCACTGAAGAAAGCAATATTATGGACAGAGAACATTGTATTTTAGCCGGAAGCAATGGTTTAAAGCTTAAAAACGTCTTAAGGATGGGTTTGTTTATTACAAACACACAGCTTCACAAGACATTAATTGATGGACTGGAGTTGTGTGGATTACTTGTGGATTATTGTGATGTTTTAATCAGCTGTTTGGACTTTCATTCTGACGGCACCCATTCACTGCAGAGGATCCATTGGTGAGCAAGTGATATAATGCTGAATTTATCCAAATCTGTTCAAATGAAGAAACAAACTAATTTACATATTGGATGGCCTGAAGGTAAGTACATCTTCAGCAAATTTTCATTTTTGGCTGATCTATTCCTTTAAATTTTAGCCTGAATTAAAATTTTAGTTACTTTTTAATATTTAGTTAAACATTAGTCTACATATAAACCTGTCAATTGACTTTATAAAGCTTGGAAAAACAGCACACAAATTATATGGAATGCTTTTAGGGTGCTTTTTTTGAGCTTGACAGTCTTTGGTGCCCATCGACTTCTATTGTTTTCTGTAAATATTCTTCTCCTTTGGTGTTCCACAGCAGAAAGAAAGTCATACTGGTTTGGAAAAACATGAAAGAGAGAGTAAACAATGACAACATTTTCAGTTTTGGATGAACTATCCGTTTAAGCAAATAGATTTAGGCAACAGACGAAACTCTAAAGCTAAAAGACACCACAAACAAATTTGTTTGGTTGGTGGTTTAATGAATGCAATCATCCCATCTCTTAACATGCCGAAATCATAAAATTTCCCTTGTCACAACTCTTTGTGGTGATTTACAATGAACTTTAGCTCCACGTCACTGCATTTCAACCGATGACTTGTCTTAATCAATGTTGACTGAGTAAGCATCAACACAGACCAGTGCTTTCCCAAGAAGTCGAGCCATAAGCTTGAACAAAGTGAGCATGTTTGTTAGTTAGTTAGTCTCTAGAAGAACCGGCAGGTCCACTGCTTTTAAACAAACCACTGAGCAAACAGTAACCAGATCACCAACATTACGACTGAAAGATCTTCTGTAGACTGTACAAAAGCATGTTTCTTGCTACCTGAAATATTCACGAGGGGACAAGGAGTTTCAGGTCATGTCTTTGTTGGATACGAATGAGAAATAATGATGCAAGCGCAACAAAAGAAGATGCATATGGCTGTCAACTGAAACGGATATTGATGATGAGCACATCACAATGGCAGATAAATGAAATTATACCCTGGAAAGGAGCTGTACTCCCAGTGGAATAGTGCTGGGTGGGTGGAAATGGTTAGCGAGGAGGGGCTCCCCCCACCAAAAAAAAACAAAAACCGTGAACCCCTTTTTGGCAACATGAGATGAGGGACAATAGCAGTTTGTCAGATGCAGTGTGTTGCTGATGCTGATCTTGTAACTAATGGCAACAACAGCATCAATACAACCAACTCAGTCAGTAGGAGGAAAGTGGAGGCAGTTGAAATGGTCTGCGGTGGAAAACCAATAAACACTGAGGCTGATTGTGAAGGGTTTAATACAGAAATACAACTTACCACCATCCCTATCTCCAGCTTAGGCGGGAGGGACCAGCAGGGCTCCGTGTTTGGATCAGGATGCGTTTCCAAAGTTCCTTCCCACATCAACGCTTTCCCTTACATCCTGGTTTCATTTTGCAATAGTGTATTAATAGTCTGGATCGTGCAGAGGCACTAACGTTACCAGACGCCAAAGACTGAATGCCGTTAGAGCGGAGAACCCCCAATAGAGAGCAAAAAGAGGAAGAGAAGGAGGAAGAAAGGTTCAGCGCGCCCTCAAGCAACTCCAGAAATCCCGCTCAGATACATACTGTCACCACTGTGACATCCAAAAACAATTTACTCAGCGAGGAGACTCAAATCAAGCAGATTCTCCTCCACAGCGGAATCGTCCCAGCGTGTTCTCCC